TTCTATCAATAAGATTAACTTTAATTAACTCGTTAATTTACTCTTTTATTTCTTTCTTATTCTTAGAATATTAGAAACAACTAAAAATAAGTTAAACTGAGATTAAAGTGAATCTACATTAGTAGAAATGAAAATAAGAAATTCATATCTTGGCAAAAATAAATCTGTCATCAAGGATATACCAACCGGCTTGTAATTTCAAACGCGTGGCGTGAATTAATATTATTAAATAATAAGGATCATTATTATTTTATATAGACAGACATTATTAAACATACGCTCGCCGTAATGGCTATCGTGCGTTTTAGCGTAACTGCACAGGATTACGATGCCACAAGCAGTATCGAGTTTTCTCATCAAACCTCTAACTAGGGCTGTCTTATCAAGTTCTGTTCAAAGATCACTCTGATAACGCAAGCTTACGTCTGGCAGCGACGAGGGACCATGAATTCCACATGAAATTCCTGGTGAAACTGCATTTGATTAGTGTCTAGACGATCAACTGGCATCCCGTTTAAGAATGAGCAACGATAGTTCCTGGATCTTGTCCAAACCAAGGTCAGGAAATAAATAATTTCGCAAAAGACTGACCATTTCAGGAAAAGAGCGTAAAAGGACGTGATGAAGCGTAGCCATAAAAAATTTTTCTGCTGTCTAATTAAAAAAAAAAACAAGAGAAAACGATACCGAGATGCATCGAATACTTTTCATAAATTAAAAAATGTTTATTTATTTAAAAGAATTTACTGCACGTAACGTCAAGCATACTTAAAGTGTAATATTGTATCAGTGTTTTAATATAACTACCGTTATTATTTTATACTGTAAAAAATCTAAAATAGAAATAGAGAAAATTCACTAAAAAAAAATTTAGAAAATATATATAGCTTGATCAGTCTGACATAGACTAAGTAAAAATGAAGCGTAAAAATGAACGTGAGAGGCAAAGTAAGAGACTCATTGGGACCGCGTTGATCACATAACAGCGGGAATAAGGGATAAAGTGCACAAACGTCGTGCCCTCGGGCCCCGTCTCCATGGTTACTATGAACTCAATATCCGAGTCGCCCGAGGGTCTCACTAGCCTGGGGCTGTCATCCCTCGAATCCATCCGGTGAAACGTTCTTCTCTCTCTCTCTCTCTGTCTCTCTCTTGCTCGCTCTTTCACTCTTCTCTCTTCCTCTGCTTCTCGTCTCTCTCGATGTCTCTCTCGATGTCTCTCTCTCTCGCTCTCACTGTCGTCGAACTGATTATATTCCATTTCTGGATTGCCCTGGCCACCTTAATACCGAGTTTTCCAATATACACAAAACGAAGCCACAGGCTACACGAAAAACAGGCTTTTTAGATAGATATGAAATTCGAAGATATCCTCAACTTCTATCGTCATTGATCCACTTAAAAAAGTCTGCAGCCGATACTTTGCAAAACATCTTGCACTTTATTCTATCACGTATTACTTTCATCTTCATCTCGTTCTCATTAGAAGCGCAAAACTAACTCGACTTCAGCTACACATAAAGAAAAGTTTTCAAGAGCTTTCAAGAACTTAAATTAATAGATATAACAAATTAATGAGAGATACAGTAAATGTAGATCTAATTTATATAAGTTGAAAAGAAAATTGTTTTGAGTGTGAACATCAGCAAAAAGTGTATATAAATACGACAAATTTTTACCATCTCTTCTAAAACTTATTCTCTAATCTTTTCATTTGATTATTATCTTTAATTATTTTTTTATTAAAAATTCTTTTTGTTTTTTACGATCAATGATATATATACATTTATATATATATATATATATTGTATGTAATAAAATTATATCTGATTTTTTTTTACACTTTATATTAAACAAGTAACTATCATTATCATCTCGCATACATTTGTTCTCTCCTATTTAGTTTAGATTAAAATATCATAGAGAGAAATGTTTTGTGAAGTGATGGTACTATCTACTCTGAGAGAGTTAATAAAAATTTTGAAGATTATTGCGTAATAGGTTAATTACATAGGCTAACATTATAACATTGGAGATAAATCGTTCATTATTTAAACTTGGAAACGCGCGTAAAGTTCCAAAATGGATATGTTCAAAGAGAAATAATATAAACTACAGATATATATTCGCGCCAGATATGTTCCAATATCATAAATATCAAAATCCGCATTTGTGCATAAACAGTCATTGTTGAAAAAAAATTTCAAAAATATTAGGTCATATTTTTAAAAAATTAAAGATTTGTTTGAAGCGAATTAGATATCATTAACTTGACTAAAATCCTACGGTGTTATGTTTATCATTATACGTTTGCTCTTTCCAAAAAATATTCAACATAAATATTTCTGTAATATAAAAAATATAAAAAGGAAAATTCTATTTTTAATAGTCACTTTAATACATTATAGAACTAAAGATAATATCACACTAAAAATTAAAGAAATGTGATTTGCATTTCGACGAGATTTGTTTTCTTATATTTTATTATCTCACGCTTATTGCTTACCCAGTACAATTTATAAAAATATCATAATGTACCAAAATTGTAATGTACTGTTATCTTTTCATAATCTTCTTCTCTCTATTTATAGATATATTAATTAATATTCCACTTACTGGCAGTAAAGAGAACGTTACGATTTATGCACGTTTTACATTTTACTTCGAATTTGTAAAAAACGTTATAATAATTGCAAAGAGGACAATACAGCTAAGTGTGGATTTCTACACGCGATGTGCTCAGCAAAAATTGGTACATAATGATTTCAAACGCTTCCCAAATAAAGTATGCAGTTATTAAAAACGACTTATTTACACAAGGTATACACATTGCCATTTCTGTCACGACAGTTTGTTCGAATATTAATTAGATAGATCAGGTGGATATTATTTTTAGTTTAAATTTTAGCATATGCAAATGCTGCTCAATCGCAATAGTTCTCTCAAAAATGATCAAAAATCAATTGTAATGACAGAAAAAAAAAATTGAAGTACTTATACAAATATGTATGTAAATTATGTCGCCTCCAATTATCCCTCCCATATTAACGCTTCAGATGTATGAAATTCTACATAACGATATTTTTCCAATTACATAAATTTTGTGCTATAATACATTACAATTCATATGTCCAAACTTATCTTCCTTACACATCATATTTGTTCAGTCTTTTCTAGGTGAAACCGTTGACCAATTAAATCAATTGTTGCGTGTAATGATAATTAACAATTGTGACTATTACACGCGTTCATTCTTCATTCTGTTTATTGATACCTGAAAGCTAAGAAACGTCATCATACGTCGGAATATATTATAATAGAAATGTTATTTTATTGTGCTCTTCTATTCAAACTGGAAGCACAGAAATTGCTAAATATTAAATGTTGATATAAATTATTCTCTCTCGACTTTGAGCATAGAATACATAAACATATTCCATATAACAATATATATCTTGTACCAAATAATTTAATCAACACTTATGTATGGATTAGTAATAAAGGCGACATTATGCTATTTCATAATAGGCATTTAAAGATTGGCAGTACTCGAAAGTACGTGAGATTTCTTTTTACTGTAATATAAATCTTGATATAAACCAGGTCTGTCCACACTTTGCTCGTGATTCAAAAACGCTTCCCCATCTCCGTCATCTCAGTAGAGCGAGACGAAGCGAAAATAACAAAGGATAGGCGCCAAGGCTCCGCCTGAATTCAGGTCTGTCCGAGATTCATAGAATAAAGGAGCCAAGGGAGAACCCATTTCTCAATATACAATTATTGTAGCTGTTTTTTATTATGTTTATTATACTCAGCAGTGATAAAAAAATTACAATAAAATTTAATCACAAACGTTTCCACCTTTAATTTGATTATCATCAGTGATTTTTACAACACTTATGATGACCAAATTAAAGGTCGAAATTTTTTAATAAATTTTAATGTAATTTTTATTTTATGTGATTGTATATTTATTTCCACATAAGGTAACAAACGTTACCCCAAAAATCATTGATTAATATTCATATTCTTTCCATTTCTATAATATTGATTTATTTTCTATCTATTATTTTAAGTAGGGTATATAATTGTATATAAAATGTGTCCATTTCTACACAATTACATAAAATTATATATAATTTTATATAATTATATATAAAACATTTTTTCCTGGGATGATTGTATGCTTAAATAACTGTCTATACATTTTATGAATCTTTATTCTATGAATCTCGGACAGAGACCTGAATTCAGGCGGAGCCTTGGCGCCTATCCTTTGTTATTTTCGCTCCGTCTCGCTCTACTGAGATGACGGAGTGGGGGAAGCATTTTCGACTCACGAGCAAAGTGTTAGACAGGCCTGATATAAACTGTTATATCAAAAATTGATAATTAAAGCAACATAAAGTAAAATATTTTAATAAAGATATTATCAGATTATGTGAAAGATTAACATGAGAGCTGTAAAGCAATTGATACAAGGGAAAATATCTACTAAAAATGTGCTTGTATTGCACAAATAGTTTCACATTATGTTGCAAACAATATGATATAAAGCTACAAAGATTAATCATATGTTTTATGTGTATAAAACATTAATTATGACTAATATGTATAACTTTCTTGAACGTCGAAAAAAATACAGACATATAAATAATATAATATAAACCGACATCACGAAAGAACCAAAAAATAGATATTTTATAAGCATTGTTCTCTATGATCTCAGGCACCACGTACATTTGTGGCTACTTTTTTACATGTAAATCAGGTACTCACTTTGAATTTGTTTTAATTTATTATGCAAAGTATTTCTGCAAAAGTTCATTATTAGCAGAATCCGCACCAAAATTCCGAGAAGGAAATATAAATAATTAAATTAACATCAATCAAAAAAATATTGGTTATTCTTAGTTTTGTAAATATTTCTTTAATAAAAAACGTAACAGCTAATTTTTTTATAAACACTGAAAATGTTGATTGCAATATACAACATAATATACTGATAACAATTCCAACTTCCGGTGGAGAGTAGCTATATTCTGTTGTACCAACATTGAAATTATCACTATTTAGTAATTATGTGTAAGATATTGTACAAATTATTCCATACTTTTTGGACAGTGTGCTCGCGGTATTATTATTACATTATAGTTTGCAAAAATACGATTTACTATTATAACAAAACCTGCTTATTTTACACTAGCGCTACAGTGTCCAAAAGTATAGGTCAAGTATTACAATGCAGCGAACCTACACATAGTGACAAGACATTCATTCATTTAATGTACATTCACACATTCATTATGTAACAATATTTCTATGGTCACACATACATGATTTTCTCTCTTTTTTCTTTCTCTCTCTCATACACACCACGAAAGGACTATGTAGAGACTAATCACGAGACATGTGCTCATACACATTACTCTTTTCATCGATGCGATTTTGTGTTGAAAAATAAAGAGCGATCTATTATGTTACATTTAAAAAACGTATGCTACAGTTAAAAAATGTTCAGTCATTTACAATAGGGAAGCTTAGTATCGACATGATGGAAACAATTTTACTTTGAATATACGCAAAATCCCAAGCCAATTCCCAATAATTTTCTTTGCAGTAATATGCAATTTGCAATAACTTACTATACATTGCAACGTAAAATAACGTCGCACGATCCATCGAGGCCAGCTCATACAAGACCATGCAGATAGAGCGCCAGATTTTGGGCGGGTCACTAAAGTTCCTGCCCTTCACAGTGCATCACTTCAAGTACGATTTATACAGTGTTGTGCTTCTACATGTTTCTTTCTCTTGCTCGAGAAGAAATACCAAATCCCTGAAGTTCACTCTCTTCAAACGTGGTCTCATGGGCATTTGCCTATTTAATCCGCTCACTGATGCATTTGCGCTAGGAGTGCTGTTGGTCGATCCTGCCGTATCGAGTTTAGGCTTCTTACGAGGGCCAATTGCTTGCAAAGCTGTTATATTCGCATCCCTTGTCCTTAATTGTTCCATCTCTATGCGTTGCATCTAAAATATTTTAAATAAATATTTTAAATAAGTTATGGAAAAAGGTGAACTTTACAGAAACTATGATTAGAAAAAAAATTAGAATTTACGTAACATAATTTATAATAGATTGCAGAATTATAAGTATTTATATATTACCTCTTTGGCCTTAGCTTTTAATTCTACTTGCTTGGGATCTTCTGTTTTTGCACGACTCTTTGCAGCACGTAAAAGTAATTCCCGTTCTTGTTCTTCGTGTTTCCTACGTTCGATTCTATCTAGATCTTCCAAAAATTTTAATTGTCCTCTTACATCTTGTGTTACTTCATATCTAGGATCGACCTGTAACCAGATAAAATATTATAAAAACGAAAAAGAGAACCCGCTAAAATATCCACTAACTTATATTTAAAAATTTTTAATTAATAGATTGATATCTACGAATTATATCTGCATAAATAGAAATACAAAAATTTTAAATAAATAACGTTTCTCTCCCTCTCTATAAATTTTAAGAGATCTCTATGAATTTTACCTTTATAAGATCTATCCTATGTTCTGTGATGACTGCTAACTTTTCTACTAAATTCTTTAACCTTTCTTGAACAGCGTGCGAAATTAATGCTGCTACTTCTTGATTGGGTTCTTCCAGTCCATGACTGGATGCTATAAAATAATATATCGTTGTCAGAATTAACTTATATATTATTTTATCAGTTTATGCTAAAAAGAATAAAATTAAATTACCAATTTGTTTAATTCTTTGTTGTAATGGTGTCATGTGCAAAAATACTTCATCTTTACAAGATCGTATCTGGGTACCAACAAATTCCGTAGAACCGAGTATTCTTTGAGATTCCTCCGCAAGATTAACACCACCCATAGCTGCTACATCATTTATGTCATCATCCGCCCTATATAATATAATAAATCATTACATGTTGCAAGTTTATAATAATTATGGTATGTATTAACTTCAGATACATGTTTCTCGTATCTCCGTTCATTTACTAACTTGCTCACAATAATCAACTATTTACAGCGCCCTTAGGCAGTAAAACTTACGTATATCCTGCTGATGAAAACGTCTTTTTCTCTTTCTCCTTCGCAGCCGGTTTTTGAACAAGAGAAGGCACTACGGCTTTATTAACAGTAGTGGTGGTATTGAGTGTTTTTCCTTGCGTAGTAGTGATTGGTTTTACAACTGTGGTTGTAATTATAGGTGGTTTTTGCACAACAGGGGCAGTGGGGCGAATTCCAGTTGTTGCTACTGTCGATTTCACTGTATATGCTGCGGTAGGGCTCCGAACCACCGTCGTTACTGGTCGAACCTAAAACAATGTAATTCTTATTATACATTGCACTCGTAAAAAAATTACAAAAAAAAACACATAACTTCTAATATGTTATTAAAACATATTATTCCTCATATTAATTCCTATACTATTATACTAAGTATCTCATTTAATTAAGAAAAGATTAATAAACACATCTTACTCTTAGAATTGTTTTATAAATTAACTATTGTTTATCTATATAAATATATATTAACGTTGCTAAACGATAAATGAAAACCTTACCAGCCTCTGTGGAATACTTTGAACAGGTCGTGGAACTGTTGTTGTAACAACTGTTGCTGTCGTTACTGCTGTTTCTGCCACTGCTACTGCAGGTCTGTATTGTGGTTGCTACAATATACAATAACATATAATGACAAGTTAGAAAATGATGTGATAATCCTGTACCAATTATTTGTATATAATTTTTATTATACTATTAATATACTATTAATATTATACTACTAATATTATAATACTTATGCTATTATTGTTAAATACAAAAAATATACAGTTCATAGTGTATCTACAAAACGACGCTAAGTCAGACTTGCAGTCGGTTTATCTCTTATGGTAAAAAGCTGATTTAATCTACTTTATATTCAAAAATACAATACAAAGTGAATTAATATTCACTCTGTATTTTTCGTATATCATATATAAAAATTATTTTACCGTAATAGTTGGAACAGCCGACGCTATAGAAAAAACAACATTAGCTGGAGGCGGCTTTATTCCCTCTATGACCAATTCCTTCGTGACAAGTGATTGCCGTAAAAGAGGCAAACTTTTCTTCAAAAATCCAATGAGACATGGTTGTGGTGAAGCATTTAATAATTTTTCAAGTCTGTCACAAAATTCTTCTGGCTCGACCTTAGTATCAATCAGTTCTTGTATCAAAGTTCGAACATTGCGTTCCACTGCTTTAGGCTCTCGACTAGATAACTCTAACAAGTTTGCTAAGAATTTACGGCACTTTTCTTTGGTATTATCAGTAGTTTGACGCTAAAAGAAAAAAAAGAGACATAATTATTTGCAAATAGTATATAAAATTAAATCATTTTAGTCTATAAAATTTAATTTTATATGAAACTTTTCAAATAAAATCGCTAGTCAAGTTTCAAATAAAGTCGATAGACATCGCTACTAATTTGTAATTTGTAAGGATTTCAGCTTAATAGAGATGAAATATACCGGTGTAGAAGTTTGAGCTGTTTGAACAGTGGTAGCCGTTGGTGTAGAAGTAGTTGTGGGTGCAGTAGTCACTGTTCCTGGGGTTGTAGTAGATGTAGTGATAGTAGGAGCAACAGTCTGTAGCAATGTAATATTTTTACAATACATTAATGTCGTTAAAATGTTAAAATTATATATAAACCATAAAATGTTATATAAAAATTTATATTCATGTTACATTCATGTTAAATGAATAGTTAATAAAACTTACATGCAAAAATAATAAATATAAATAAAAAAATTAAGTAATTTTAAAATACAATCATATTTAAAATAAATTTTGCAATATAAAACAAAGTGAATCATTGAAAGTTTATGACACATATTTACACATGTAACAGTTTTCCTACTTAATAACAATGTAATTAATGTAATTAATGGAATTTTGAAATAACACTCAAATAAAATTGACTGATTTCATGTATTACATTTAAAATCACAAATATAAATAAATAAAAAAGGGATATTTGTCAAAATTTCAAAAATTTAAGGTAAAAATATATAAAATTACTATCTTCATAATTTATACTGCATGCAACTAGAACTTTTGAAAATTCTATATTACTACATTCGTGATAAATTCCATCTATTTTTCCGACATGCATGCCAAGGTTTAGAATAGTCCTATCGAAGTTTTAACTCGCTGGCTATTGCAGATAATCATAATCGTAAGTTTTAATACATTATTTTTAATACATTTTATACAAATCAATAACTTGCATTAATAAGTAAATTGAATTCAAGACATATAACAACAATATTCATACTTATAATTAATTACTACATATATATATATATATGTACATATAACATTAAAATGTATTCTTTAGACGCACTTGTACCTTGTACAGACTCATATTTTGCAATTTTTTGTAATTATGTATAGACATATTATAAAATATATTATTGAAATAAACATATACCAATATTCATTGATTGTTTTACTTTAATAATTCACAGAATATTATATCAAGTTTTATTTAGTTTCGATTACCTATGTAAGAAAATGTATAAAAACCTTTTTGAAAGTAATTGTGCAATATGCCAATTTTTTAACCAAATTATACTATTATATACTATTATTATTCAATATATAATATAATATAATAGTAAAGAGATAGACAAAGATAGATAAAAAAAATATTTTGTTTCACTATTATTTCTCAATACCAATTAGAAAATAGGCTTATGAAAAATAGATTCATAAAAATTTTGAAAATCACATGCTTGTGTACTATAACATTAGGAAGAAAAATAAAATTTTAAAAAATATATGTATAAAAATATAGAATAAAGGATAAATATAAAAGATATATATAGATGTCCTCAATTATATTCTTTCTTAAAATAATTTATCTTTCATCTAACATAGCAGTTTCTACGTAACACCTTTAACCAATAATTCATGCAATTAAATTGGATAGACATTGAACTTTAACGCATTTACTTCATAAAACTTAGACGTACTACCAGAGAAATGCATCCCAAAAAATAAGCTAATATTGAGATGTTATCAATTATGTTAAATTTTTACAATGAAATGTGGAATAAATGTACAAAAATAAATAGATACTGAAGACAACAATAACAAAATTGCTCATAAAACTTTGCATTCAGAAAAGAATTTGCATGTAAAGTATTTATAAAAATTATAATTATAATATACTGTGCCTTTTAAGTATATAATGCACTAAATGTTTGCAAACAATCAATAAATAAACTAATAGTAAAAGTTTTATGTCGTAATAAAATTTAGTGTGGACAAACAGTAAACATAAAATATATTGGCTTACTGATAACATCATTCCACAGAAAACAAAATCACAAACTAATAAATATCTACAGTAGCACTACAACGAGTCTTGTAAGAGGTATAAAAGTGCGTCACCTGAACAGATTTTCTTAGGGTGGCGAGTGGTGGACCAGTGAACTGAGTATTCAGCCTACTTACAGTCGGCACTGAAGTTAGGCGGTACGTAGTGCCTGGAGATGGTGCAGCAACTACTGCATTGCCAGTTATACTATTTGGTGTAACTGCAGTACCAGTGGGAGTACCCGCAGTTGGAGCTGGACCCACCCTTAGTAACTGGTACTGTCCATTTTCTGTTTTTAATAACAGATGCCCTTGAGCACCAGCTTGAAGGCTATGAAGTGCCTGTAACGTTATCTAAAAATTGAAGATAATAATCATTAATTATATTATCAGTACATTTTCTTACAGTTTATCTTCTATTATAAATAAATAAAAAGTTATTCTTTAAACAATTAATTATATAAATTAATAGTAAATATACAGTAGAAGTGAAGCAATATGAGCACTAAAAAATTCTATATATATTTAAAAAAATGTTTAATAAAACTCAAAATTAGTTTAACAAAAATATATTTATGTAGATATAGAAATCCAAATACACAGATAAAATTGCCAAGATAAATTCCAATACACTTTCGTACATACTATACAGGTGTATGTAAATTAAAGAGAAAAGAAACTTTATCATTTATCGTAAGAAATACTAAATGGAACGTCTTACCCCTGGACCTCCAGCTCTAGCTCCAACCAATTGGTGTTGCCCAATCACCACTCTTGGCGTAACTTGTTTATTAGCTTGCTGACCCGCTACTGGCGTTGCAGGACGCATCGTATTTACATTAAGGATTTGAACATTACTGGGTACTATCGTCGAAGTAACCCCACCCTTAGCCTGCAACGCTGTGCTGACTGCATTGCCAGCCACAGAGACCGGTACAGACATTGGAACGGAAACCATGCCAGGCGCTACACTTGTCTTGATCACTAAAGCTGCCCCTGTTGGCTTATTCACTGCGGTCACTGTTTGGCTCGCTGCCTGGCTAACAGAGCCAACATTGGTAACAACGTTCGCTGTAGTCTGCAGCACTGCCTGCGACGTTATACCTAAAGTACCGTTTGCTAACTGCCCGACAGTTTGAGCGGGAAAGGAGAGCTTATTATTAGCATTTGCCACCCCCGTAGTGGCAATAACTTGTCCGACTGTGGGATAGATGAGCTTCACTGGTTCGTGCGTCTTGGTCAAACTTGGTATGTGTGTAGTCTGATTACCGGACACCTGATTAGTCGTCACTTGATTGATATAGGTAGCGGGAGATATTCCTGGCGGTTGTGTGTGCTGCTGCTGCTGTGGCTGTACCTGCGGCGGCTGCTGCTGCTGCGTGGTGATGACCTGTGGCGCCACTGTGTTCGAGGTAACCACGTTCACGGGCAGCAGAGTGCTGGTAGTAATCGACTTGGTGACCTCCTGAGTCATTAGACTATTCACGGTAGTCGCACCGCCGCCGTTCGAAACCCCATGTTTCTGTGGCTGTACCGCGGTGATGGTGCCCCCGTTGGAAATAGCGCTGTTCACCTGGTGATTCTGCTGGCTGACCGATGCGGAACTCACTTGATGGCCGGCGACAGTCGGCGCGGACGTCACAAGCTGCGTCTCGAGGGAGCCCACTATCGCGTTCACTGCGGATTCATCGACATCCGTGCTCAGAGCTTCCTCCAGAAACTTAGCTGACGCCATTTTCTTTCAAGCTCCAACTGTAAACTGATCTGCGCATGCGCCTGTCGCAAATTGCTCCCATAGTGCCTTGCCCCCTCTCCCTCGCCCTCTTAGCGTGTTCTAGCAATCGTACGCGACGAGTGCGACCTGTGCGACTGCGAGTCCACCGTCTAGCCGGTACGTTCGTCCATCGAGTTTCCTCGACATTCCATGACGTTCATTTGGCCCTAGGTGTTCATCATGGTCGCGTACACGTAACCGCGGACTTCTCATTACGACGGAGTGACGTGCACGTCGTTCACGCCGCGAATACGTGTTATGGCCGCTCGGCAGCGCGCACGCAACACGTCACCCGCCAAAATGGCCATCTTCGAAATGCGCAATCGACGCGCCGTTTACGCACACACACCGCACGCGTCGATACCCGCCGCATGGCTCTGCACTATCAATCCTCGCTCTTTCACGTAATTTCGTGCGTAAAGAAAAATCGGAAACCTACTAAGATTTTTCCCGTAATCTCTTGAAAGAAAAAAAAAAATGCGTTTCGAAACTGTTCCCTCGCGTCTCGTCCCCCCTTCCCGTATGACTTTGATCGCCGGTGCGGCTACGCCTCGGAAAACACGTGCGTGGCTTCGCGGGAAAACGTGGAGGAAGCGACGCTCGAGCAAAACTTTCGCGATCCTTCGATTTTCTACGGGAAACCGGAAACGATGCTCGAAACGTGATGAAAGCTGATCGACTATTGCGTCGATACCATTTGTCGTACGACAAATGTGTGCAAACCAGAAAGATCCTTGAATTTCTCTATCCTATAGCCAATCATCAGGCTTGGAAAATTTGGGTGCTTTCCATTTGATGACAAGTTGATACAAGTGTCGTTCTATCTTTGTTACTCTCTGAATGTCAAGAAGGATAAAACGATGCTTGTGTCGACTTGTGTCATCAAATGGAAAGCACCCTTTATGACAAAACGCATAAATGAAATAGCGGCCATATACCGTAATCTGCGCACGAAAACGTCCAAATTTGAGAAAGGCGATTACAGAGCACGCGACCAATCGGGACCAAGAAGCCAGTCTTCGTCTCTCGCATTTTGATTAGTCAAACTCCATTTTAGGTCCGTTTCCACCAACGCAGATCAACTTTAATCTCGGTTCAACTTAATCTTTGTCTTTTTCTAGTTCTAAAGATTAGAAAAAGACGAAGAGTAAGTTGAACCGAGATTAAAATTAATCTATATTGGTAGAAATGGGCATTAATGTTCTTGATGGAAGCGGCGCACTTTCACAGTTCAATTGCGTATTATGTCAAGAAGGATAAAACGATGCTTGTGTCGACTTGTGTCATCAAATGGAAAGCACCCTTTATGACAAAAACGCACAAATGAAATAGCGGCCGTATACCGTAATCTGCGCACGAAAACGTCCAAATTTGAGGAAGGCGATTACAGAGCACGCGACCAATCGGAACCAAGAAGCCAGTCTTCGTCTCTCGCATTTTGATTAGTCAAACTCCATTTTAATGTTCTTGATGGAAGCGGCGCACTTTCACAGTTCAATTGCATACGCAACTCACCGTCCCTAGTAATTTTCGTTGTTTCACCAATGAGATTACATTATTTTAAATTAGCCAATTAGCGATGTGGACAATTAATGTACACTCGCCAAAGAGTAAAGAGAAACAGGAGGATGTATCAATAGTGGGGGTAGTTAAATCCGCGAACGGATTACGTCGTGGCAACCATCTTAAGCGTCCACTTTTTTTGACGTTTATACGAGTTTTAACAGGAAAAAGATCTTGAGCAACAAAACAGTTTATTATTAATAAATATTGTAAAGAGCACCATGGTGCATTGCCAGGCGTGTGGTGTAACAACTTTACCACAAAATTATGGGATTACCTTTCATCGGTTAGTATTATCAGTAATAATGAGAATTTTATATTTTAGAGGTTATACTCTATCGTATGTATACTAATGTATACTCAAAAAGTAAAGAGAAACAGGAGGGAATGTATTATAATAGTGGGAGTAGCTAAATCCGTGGAAAAATGAACGTCATGGCAGTTGTCCTGGCTCGTGTTCAGATTCACACCCAAGTGTTCTCCGGGTGTCATGTCATCCTTGTTTAATGTTCGGTAAATAATAAGAATAGAGTGATACCTGGGTGACACTCTGGTGGGAATCTGAACATAGTCTAAAGCGGGGAGCACAGACTCTTGCATAACGCATAACACGTAATGCATAAGAATATGTACCAATCGAAGTTCTCCGTTTCTTTCCCTTCCATGCAATAGAGAACTCTGGTTAGTTCAATTTCTTATGCCTCATGTGTTATGCGTTATGCAAGAGTCTGTGCTCCCCGCTTAAGGGCCATTCCACACAACTTGCATAGCCACATAAACATATGCATAAAGAAAATCATCCAATCGTAGTTTACGTTTGTCTTTATGACAGAAATGTGATTGGATAATTTTCTTTATGCATATGGTGGGTGGCACCCAGTTGGACACGAGCCACTCACAGCGTTTGAGACTACAAAGCTCCTAAGAACCGGTCGCTGTGATTGGTGGTGTCCAATCGAGCCGTGATCAATCGGGATCACCCCCATATGGTTATGTGGCTCTGCAAGTTTGTGTGGAATGGCCCTTAAAATTTGTAACAGACTTTTTTCTATGATTTTCAAAATGCAACCGGGTGGCACCCAGTTGGACACGGCTCAATTGGACACGAGCCACTCACAGCGCTTGAGACTACAAAGCTCCTAAGCACCGGTCGCTGTGATTGGTGGTGTCCAATCGAGCCGTGGTCAATCGGGATCACCACCATTCCAAAATCCATTATAAAAAAAGTGTTGCAACCTTTTAGTCGGTGAATATACAGTCAGAAGCAATGAAGTTGCGACACTTTTTTCGATTGGTTTTGGAATGCAGGCTACTCACCCAGCGATTGGTTCTTATTTGTAGATCCATAAATAAGAACCAATCGCTCGATGAGAAAGCTGCATTCCAAAACCCATTGGAAAAAAGTGTTGCAACCTTTCTGTGACTGGGGGTGATCCCGATTGACCACGGCTCGATTGGACACGACCAATCACAGCGACCGGTGCTTACGAGCTTTGTAGTTTCAAGCGCTGTGAGTGGCTCGTGTCCAATTGAGCTGTGTCCAACTGGGTGCCACCCCTGTGACTGACTGTACGCTCATTCTTAACCATGATGTAAATATACATATATAAGGTGAAACGTTCCCGTACATACACTGCAGTAGGAGAGTGATTTGGGCATAATTTTTAGCACAAGTTTGATTGGCTGTTCCAGTATTCCAATC